CTTGTTCATTTGCGGTTTTGCAGCTGAAGATGATGGTTCGGTAAACCATCGAAACTAGTCCTGTAAATTTGTAGGTATAACGCTGATTTTTGTTGTTTGACTTTCTGAATATTTTAATATTTGAGAAAATGTATGTTTTGTAATAATTGTTACTAAATTTAAGTATGAAACACACCACAAAAATTTACATGTTTTTTAAATTATTTTATTGCAGTTTCCTTTTGTAAAGCACAAGTGTCCCATCACTTTTGTGAGACACTGTATCTAAAGCGTCAATAGGTAATATCATCAACAAGAAAGGAAAAAAATGTCAAATTGGAACTCAAGTGGGACAAAAATTCCAAACAAGTATCCAAGGAAAAAACGGACATCGTCGACTATTGCAAAGGTACGTTGTTTAATGTTAAAAGAAAAGGGTAGAAAAAAATTTAAGTACATGGTTCAAAGATTGGAAAGAAATTTTTTCTAAGGGATTCATGATTGTTGCTGGTTTTTCTTATAATGGCAAGTTAAAAATAAAGAGAGTGCAAAAAAATGTCAAGATTAACTCCAAATACTATCAGGAACATATTTTATCGCCAATTTTTCTGAATGAAATACCATCGCTTTACCCGCGGTGCCATCAATCTGTGAGACTCCATCAGGACAAAGCTAGCAGTCACACATCAAAACCACTGTAATTTCCTAAAAGAAATGGAACAAAAAACTGGTATCAAGGCCATACCCTTCACTGATATCCCTACTAAATCTCCCGATGTGTCACTTATGGATTTTTGTGCTTTCGGACTTTTAAAAACTGCATTATCCAAACGTTGTCCCAAAACCCTAACAGGACTCTGGAAAGCTGTTCGGGAGGAATGGGATAGAATACGTCTTCTGCCACTTCAAAAGGTATTATTATCCTGGAAATTGCGATGTCGAAAAATAGTTCAGAATAAGGGATGTCAAATAGAACATTTAAAACGCAAGAATTTTATGTAATTTAGTTTTGTGAATACAATATACATCGTCTAAAAAATGTGTGATCAGCCTCTGTAGTCTTTGTTTCTGACATGTAGACCATTGTTCACTGCTAAGCTCTTGTTTTATTTATGGGTAAATAAGAACTCAGTTCGCACTGTGTCATTCACTATCAGTTCGCTTGGAGTGAACAAGAAACAAAGAATCACACATTAAAAATGGCAGAATGAAACTTCTTTAGAGTTGATAGTTCAATGGTATGGGCGATAAGTGCCCGATTATTTTCCCTCGTTCATGAAAACGATTATATAAATATGACAGTCTACCTTTAAATACAAGACCCTAAAATCCTGTGCCATGTTTTTCCAAGAAGTTGAAAATACTATTTGACTATTAATAAATAATGAAGTTCGTCCTCGCAGAACTTCACTTGTCGACGACTTCGCACAAACTGAAGACATCCGCAGAATGGCCTAGCAAGCCAGATTTCCAATTTTTAATCTAAAAGGAAATGCACAGATAACATTATCCAAACGTTGTCCCAAAAACACAATTTGCTAATCACCAAATAACACCCACAATCTTCGAAGAGTTAAGAAGTTATATTGAAGAATGGGATTCTTTGAGCACAGAAATTACAAATATCTTGCTGATGAACTGTTAGAATAAATTAGTGTCACTTTTGCATAATGAAACTCGGCAATGTCAAAACAAACAAGTGGCAAGCGATATATTGGCGAGAGAGGATTTTGTACTTGCATTGTATTTGTGCTTCATTCTTTTCAGCATGTTACCTTCTTTTATGGAGCATACTCCTTATAATATTGCCTAATAGGTAAGATTGAAGCTATTTAAAACTTATGAATAAATGACATGTCCCAACAATTCCTTTTAAATGTTAATAAAGACTTAACTTTGATTTGTAATCTATTTGAGTTAAGAAAACTCTTTAACTTGTTAAATAAAGGTTTCATAGTTATTCCAACTTATGATTCTATTATAAAACTGTGCTAAATTGAGGATAGTGTACTCAAACGCCTTAACTGTGTTAAATAAAGGACAGTGAACTCAAACCCAAACTCCTTAACTGCTTTAAATGCATGACATATCATGAACATATCTCATAATCTTTTTACTATTCTTAAAAAACCATAATATTTATATTAAATTTATTTTATGTTCCATAAATTTCACTTACTGCATTGTGCAGTGTATAAAAATTATATACTTTTTAAAATCCCATTAAGGCTTTTTTTTAGACTTAAGAGATTTTTGGCGTACATCTATGCTTGCTTTTCCCCCATTGTTTCTCTCGGTCTATCTGCAATATAAATTTCATTGTAAAACCAGTAATAGGAAATTTTTATAATGCCTTTCTTGCCTTGATGCCTTAAGCATTTGCTTATTTCTCTTAATGGTTAATCCACCTCTGCAAACATTCACTTTCTTTTGTCAAAACTATTTTCAGAACTTAGGATTTAAAACTGAAAATAGAAGAAAACTATCCACCTCTGCAAACATTCACTTTCTTTCGTCAAAACTATTTTCAGAACTTAGGATTTAAAACTGAAAATAGAAGAAAACTACTGTACTTCAAGGCTTTAAGTCCTCATCATTTAAAGAACTTCTGGAGTATAATTTGTAACAATTTTGCGTAATAAGTAATAATTTCTGTAAAACTGATATATTTGCAATATTTTTGCAACAAATGATGTGTTCGTAAATCTAAGCAAACTATCATCTTCGAAACAATTACTAATTTTCTTTTTTCCCTCCTTAAAGAACTTGATTCGGATTTTGTACTCACCTTTCCTGATACTAAAGCCACGATTGCGAATATGGCCTCCACTACACTCAGTTCTCCTTTGGCGGAAGCAACCGTATCCATGTGGGTCCAAACCACGGACACAGAGAGATCAGGAACACCTTTATCCTATGCAGTTGCTTCAGTGAATGCTTTTGATGGAGATGGGAATATTGTAGATAATGCTTTGACAGTCACAGATTGTAATGGAGTGGAAATTTATGTGAACAACCAACCCCTGGTGACAGATTTGCAGATGACAGATGGTCAGTGGCATCACCTAGCGTTTTCATGGTCGTCTGAAAATTCAGGTAAAATTTGGAATCATTTTTGGACTAAATCTTTATATTTAATATCTTTTTCTTGATTCTGATTAAAGAAATATAATAAAATGGCAACTGAAGTAGTTATTAAGATATAAACTCATGTTAGTAATGACAGTAGCAAATGAGTATCATAATAATTAAACATTATACAACATTCTATATAGTCACATGTTTAAGTAGAATTCATGAAATTTTTCTCATTTATTTTCTCTTTAAGAAAGTTGTTAAACCATTATTTTAACATTTTTTTTATAAAACTATTGGAGAAGATTTCATGTGATTCATTCATTCATTAATGGATGTTACAAAGCTAATAAATATTGAGGTCCGCATAATTTTTATCTGAAAAATATGCATTTAATGGTTTCAAAAATTTTGAAAGTTCTCAAATGCTTTTTATTAAATAGAAGTAAGAATTAATATTCTTTTAATCAATTCACTCTGAATAGACGCACGTGTTTTCAGGCATGTGGACTCTGTACAAAGATGGTGAACTGAAAGCACAAGGCAGTGATCTTCGTCCAAATGATGTTATTGCTGGAGGTGGAACAGTAGTTATTGGGCAGGAACAGGATATAATTGGAGGTGGTTTCAGCCCTAGAGAAACCTTTACAGGAAACATAACTAGGTATTTAAAATATAAATTTTTAAATGATTTTATTACATGACTATCTCAGAGCTTAATTTCTACAATCAGAAATGCCAGAGGGGGGATAACTATTAATTAATAAACTAAATAATTAGATTAAATTCAATAAAATATAAAAATATAAAAATTTAATAAATTATTAAATTTATTATAAATAGTTAAATAAAAGAAATAAAATATTGGACCTCGTCTTATTTAGAGCTTCCACTCTGCCTATTAAAAAAATTAAGAAATAGCTCATTTGGTGGCTTCCTGCTGAATTTAAGCTCTGAATAAACAGTATAATGCACTATTTCAAGGGATGAGAGAAAAACCATTCTCTTTCCAGCATACCAATGGAGAAAAAGGAACACAATTAAAGCATCACTAATGAGAATAGAAACAATATGACAGTATGGAAAAAAAAAATTAATGGAGAAGTGTAGCTTTGAAAACATAGAGAGAAGAGTCCAGCGTTTTCTGAACAAGATGCCCTACCGATACAATTTTAGGTGTCAAGCAGAATGAGAGTGGGCAAATTTTTTTTTCCTGAATCCCATCCGATTTTTCCATATTTTTTTAACTTAAAATTTCCTCTTATTATTATTATTTCTGTTATTATTCAACCTTTGATACTTAAAGATAGTTGCGCAAATAGTAAATAGTATTGGCCAATAAAATTGCTACACCACGAAAGAAAGCAAGTAGACATGCAGTATAATGACAAGAAAACATAATTAAGTTTGAAGGTGATTTGGGAACATACAGAATTTAGTATACAAAGCTGCCACTTCTGACATTAGAAATGGCTGAAATCTGGCTGGGCGTCGAGTTGAACTGAGCTTGGATGACAGATTCAAATACTTCATTCCATGTAGCTTTGACTCTATGCCAGAGTCCATTGATCGTAGCAGCTGGCTAGTGGCGATGTACCAGTCTCTCGGCAATCCACGACCAGATATCCTTTAATGGGTAAGATATCTGGACAACGTGCTGTCTAGGGCAACAGTCTAACAGCTCCTGTATCAGTTTGTTTTGGTTTGCTTAACTATTTCAAAGCACTCGATGGCTATATGCCTAAGAGAACAGATGCCTTTGTGGAGCACTTTCAAAGGAAAACTGCCTTGTATATACACATTACACATAGTGAAAAACATGCTGTGTTTGTGTATTAATTTGTTGAAAAATGGCCTCAAAGACAGGTTACAGCCACGGACCTTAACATGTCAGAAATGTAACGGTGGCTATCCATATTACCGGCTATACAAACAGGGGTTGACCAGGATGTCTATTTAATGGCACCCCAGCTGATTAGCCCGTATGGCGATGAACAATGCAAAATGGCAACCTTCATTCTAATCGGTGTCTACACATGTGACAATCTAATCCAGTAAGCAGAGTGAACTACTTTCCAGATGGCCCCTTAACAAGTATTAAGAAAATACATATTACTGCATTTACAGGGGTGGAGAGAATACACATCCCATGAATGATATGCAAATTAGAAATCTTTATGATAGACCATAATAAAGAAAATCATAAGAGTATACTGCACTCTTATTGATATTCAAATACAGAAGCTGTTCACACATTTTATAGACAATGTATATTGTATTCACAAAACTAAATTACATAAAATTCTTGTGTTTTAAATGTTCTATTTGACATCCCTTATTCTGAACTATCTTTCGACATCGCAATTTCCAGGATAATAATGCCTTTTGAAATGGCAGAAGAGGTATTCTATCCCATTCCTCCCGAACAGCTTTCCAGAGTCCTGTTAGGGTTTTGGGACAACGTTTGGATAATGCAGTTTTTAAAAGTCCGAAAGCACAAAAATCCATAAGTGACACATCGGGAGATTTAATAGGGATATCAGTGAAGGATATGGCTTTGATACCAGTTTTTTGTTCCATTTCTTTTAAGAAATTTACAGTGGATTTTGATGTGTGACTGCTAGCTTTGTCCTGATGGAGTCTCAGAGATTGATGACACCGCGGGTAAAGCGATGGTATTTCATTCAGAAAAATTGGCGATAAAATATGTTCTTGATAGTATTTGGAGTTAATCTTGACTTTTTTTTGCACTCTCTTTATTTTTAACTTGCCATCATAAGAAAAACCAGCAACAATCATGAATCCCTTAGAAAAAATTTCTTTCGATTCTTTGAACCATGTACTTAAATTTTTTTCTCCCCTTTTATGATAATAAATGGCTCTTTTTTTGTTACAATCATTTAAATACACCCATGCTTTATCTATTGTGACAATTGTTCTCCATTTTTCTTTGGATAAGTGTTTCTCATATAGAATTCTGCAGCGTGTCCTGCGTTGAGCGATATGCTTTGGAAGAAGACGATGCACATTGCGTTTTTTCGCTTTCTTAAGATTTAAATCAACGTTTATCATTTTGTTTACAGTGGACACTGAGCATTTTAATGATTTTGCAACTGTCCTTTGACTAGGGGGATTTTCTTTTAACATTAAACAACGTACCTTTGCAATAGTTGAAGATGTCCGTTTTTTCCTTGGATACTTGTTTGGAATTTTTGTTCCACTTGAGGCTCCAATTTGACATTTTTTTCCTTTCTTGTTGATGATATTACATATTGACGCTTTAGATATCACAAAACCATGACTCTCACATCGTTTTTGGATAACGGAGTATGCATATTTCTTTTCGGAAAAGCGTAAATGTAGCCTTCGAACCACTGCTTTGTTAAATTCGCCATTTTGAATAAAACAAAACTTTCAAGCCACTGACGATAATTTTGACTTTTGTGTCTCACAAAAGTGATGGGACACTTGTGCTTTATGAAAGGAAACTGTAATAGAATAAATTAAAAAAACATGTAAAAATTTTTTGTGGGTGTGTTTCATACTTAAATTTAGTAACAATTATTACATAACATACATTTTCTCAAAATATTAATTTAATAAAAATACAATCGTTTAAAACGGAGCACAAAATGGCTCACATAAATGATGAAACACCATTACATACTACTACGTACTACAATAAAAATATTTTTTTGGGTTTTTATTTTTACTCAAAAGCAATTGGCAATAATTTATAAAATCGTCTGCAGTATTTCTCTCCAGTTTGTTTTGGAATTTTTGTGTTTTTTAGCTCTGTGCAGCCATGAATGCTAAACGAAAAGAAACTTTGCCTGAAGTTCGAAAATTAGTTATTAATTTGCATATTGAACGTGGAAAATCTATTAGAAAAAACTGCTGAAAGAGTTAGCTTGAGTCATTCAACAGTTTTCAGTATCATTAAAGGATATAAAAAGAATCATATGATTCAGGATAAAAGAAGACCTGGTCGACCATCAAAGCTATCCAATGGAATAAAGCGAATTATCGTTCGAAATATTAAAAAAAAATCCAAGAATGAGTGCTCCTAAAGTTGCTGCAGATTTACAAGCATTAATGGAGTAATTGTTAATCCTGAGACTATTAGAAGAGTAATTCGATCTGCTGGATATCACGGTAGAGCAACCGGGAAAAAATTCTTCGTAAGTGAAAAGAATAGAAAACTCAGACTGGCTTTCGCCAAATCCAACATAAATAAGAATTCTGATTACTGGAATGAAGTTATATTTGCTGATGAGAGTAAATTTAATATATTTGGTTCTGACAGTAGAATCTTGGTGTGGAGAAAGCCCAGGGAAGAATTTCGTAAACAGAACTTGGTGCCAATAGTAAAACAGGGAGGAGGAGGAGTTATGGTATGGGGGTGTATGTCGTCCGCTGGAGTTGGTAATCTTGTTTTTATTGATAGTATAATGGATCGGTACAAATATATTGACATTTTAAATCAAAATTTGAAATCTTCAGTACAAAAATTGAAACTTCATAACGATGTTAAATTCTACCAGGACAATTGACTCCAAGCAGACTGCTTTGAACATTAGACTTTGGCTGCTGTATAACTGTCCTGAAATAATAAAAACACCACCACAATCGCTAGACTTAAATCCCATAGAGAATATTTGGCAAGAATTGGAATCAAGAATTCGCAAACACACCATTTCTTCAAAACAACAATTAAATTCTACCAGGACAATGACTCCAAGCACACTGCTTTGAACGTTAGACTCTGGCTGCTGTATAACTGTCCTAAAATAATAAAAACACCACCACAATCTCTAGACTTAAATCCCATAAAGAATATTTGGCAAGAATTGGAATCAAGAATTAGCAAACACACCATTTCTTGAAAACAACAATTAAAATCGGTGCTTCAAGAAGAACGGGGTAAAATCACTCCAGAAATCAAAAAAAAAAAAAATTAGTTGAATCCATTCCAAGAAAATTAAATCATGTTTTAAAAGCAAAAGGAAATCCAACAAAATATTAAAAGCTTTTAAAAAGTAAAATTTTTAGATAAATATTTGATGGAAAAGTAAGTGTCCCATCACTTACGCGAGCCATTTTTTGCTCCGTTCTAAACAATTATATTTTTATTAAATTAATATTTTGAGAAAATGTAAGGTATGTAATAATTGTTACTAAATTTAAGTATGAAACACACCCACAAAAAATTTTTACATGTTTTCTTAATTTATTTTACTACAGTTTCCCTTTGTAAAGCACAAGTGTCCCATCACTTTTGTGAAACACTCTAGTACAATTGCAATAACTTCTTTTGCAGCAAACGATTTTTTATTACTGCTTACCAAAATCATCTAAAAAATGTGCGAACAGCCTCTGTATCAAGTTTTCATATAAAAACAGGCTTTATAGTATCTGTAGTATCTTGCATTGAAACTTTGGTTCAGTGATTATCATTAATTTTTCTGATACCTCTATATCAAATGTTTATGATTATCCAAGATTTCGTTGAGCCAAGGCTACGTCAGCACTCTTACTGACATTCAAATACCTAGTTTTCATGTAAAAATATGATTTATAGTATCTCTAGTATTTTGCATTGAAACCTTTGGCTCAGTGATAATTCATTAATTTTTCTGATATACTCTATAATAAATTTTTATTATAAGCATATGAAATGTATCTTCAGATGGCTCTTATAATCACACATAAGCTTCAGTTTTATTTTGGGGAGAACTTTGATTTCATCTTATAATCTGTTTATGACAAGATTTAGTTGAGCAAGTACTATGTTGGCCAATACAGCTCCATCATATTCATCATCAAATCATTCTGTTGTAGCAAGAGAAGGCATGGATAGTGTGTTATCTTGTTGTAATAATACAGACATTTATCAGAGTACTTCTACAATGCTGGAAAATATTGCTTCCTACCATGACACTGCCATTAACATCATGATGATTACATAAACGAGATTGTTAGAAAGATACAATCAGAAAAAAACTGATCTCTTGGCAATTGATACTTGCATTTATGGCTATAAAACTGATACCGTTGGAACTTAAAATTAAGCAGGCTTTGTCATATGTCAGACTTCAAACTACTTTATAAATTTTAATCATTATTCAATACCTACGTTTAACTTTAAAGAACTCTCTTATGCCAAACAATGTACATGTTCGTATTTTAGATCTGAAACCCGTTGGGGTGCACTAGTAGCCCCAAGTGAATAAAAGCACCGGCAGTTTATCCATGGCTTAACTTAGTTTCATTTCGAAAGATCTTCACACAGATATTCTTCCTAAGGCAAATGACCCTCAAAGTGATTTACAGTAATGAATCACTAATTAAATTTTTGCTCATACAAAAATGCAATTGATTGCTTACTAGCATAAAATTAAACAAACTAATTACCAAATGGAAGAAATTTTTTCAATTAAAAATTCATTAATGTTTAAATAAGCAGTAAATTTATTATGAGAAGATAATGGTGGGAAAACTTATCAAGATAGGAGTTAAAATTTTAAGCAGAAACTCCTTCCTTCATTTAATCGATTAATTATGGAAAAATACTCAAGGGAAGCCTTCATCAGTAATATTCTGAGGGAAAACTGATTTATATATATGTTATAAATAAGTAATGAAAATTTTTAAAATGTCATACCCATCCATCAATAAGAATTGAAACTTGTTGACATGGTCACCAGTGTTGACTCAACTGTTGGTGTGTTTAATAAATAAATAATATCAACTGTTAAAGTTTAATTTTTTTGTATTGAAATATTATATGTACATATACAGAAAATGTATTCAAAAATTAAAATTTTCTCATATATTTATAAATTTAGGGTCAATATCTGGAATAATTATTTTTCAAAGAGCAATATAAGTCGTTTATGCAACATGGATGATGACATACCTGGTAAAGTAGTTGCATGGCCAGACTTTTTACAAGGAGTTAGAGGAGATATCAAAGTACTGAAGAATATAAATCCCATTTTGAGAATAAACGATCTGACACAGAATATCTAGGCAATATTATAACATAATACAGGTAATGTACCTTTACATTTTTATTCTTTTATAGGTTCGTTAATTTTTGAAGTATGTAATGCTGGAAAATAAAGTGCTTAAATTTTTTGTAATTTGATTGAAACTGTAACTTTTATTACTGTAGTGAATTATGCAATATAGACTGTCCACAAAAGTTTTTACTCGGCCTTTATTTTCGAAATGGTTAGTCCTAGACATACATTCAATCACAAACATATTTTAAAATCATGCAAAGACTCATGTTTGGCATTTTTCAGTTTACAAAAGTCAGTTTATAAAAATTAAAAAATGTAACATTTTATACCATTGTGCAGCCTCAATACTTACATTTAGGAAATTTTATATTTATAATAAAAAAATAAAACACAAGAAGTTTGATTTCCATAAGACGAAAATTATCGAGATATTTAATTTCAAAATTTGGTATATAGGATTAGCTCCTCAATGTTAATTGAGTTTGGTATATATATTTATTAATCTCTCTCTTTTTTATTAAACTTATTTGATTCTTCCTTTCACATTCCGAAATTTAGGTTCATTCCAAATAAAATTCACCCATTTTTTATGATTTACTTTTAAAATTTGTAATTTTAAATAACTTTTACAATTTTTTCAAAAACATTTTTGAATTATAATCTATAAAAATTTTACCATCATCTTAAAAAGTAGACGTATTTCTAAGCATACCTGCAAAAAATTACAGTTTTTTATTCAAAATTTCCAAAGATATAAGTGAATTTACATATTGGCACATTTTGAAATTTGGCATATTTGTTGAAAGCGATAAAACATCAAATGTGGTTTAGGCACTTTGTTAAAATTATTTGAAAGTAGGAAGGATGTGACTCTCCCCCCCCTCCCCCCCCCCGTGCGCAATGTAAAAAAGGGAAAGGAAAATAGGTTGCCATATATTAAGAAGTTCGCTAAGTAAATTATTCTTGGCGCAAACTGGAAAAAAAAAAAAAAAAAAAAAAAAAAAAAAAAAAATGCAGCAGGATAATTTTTTTAATTTCTGTGTAAATTTCGCACCAAATTTTACAGAATTTAATATTTAGGCATAGTCTGAATCGTAGAATCAAAGTATGAAAAAAACTCGGCAGTTCATTTCAGAGAAAATCCGATTTTGTGTCAAAATACCTACATTAGAACAAAGCTATATATAAATCAAATGTATATCCTAAATCGCGCTTTCGAAACACGAAAAACACAATTTGAATAATTTCATCAATTGGCCCAGTAGAACAGGGGATATAAAACTGTCCCTTTTCTTTAAGCAGTGCACATGTTTCAAATAGAACAATTTATTTTTAAATTTAACTTTTCATATAATATGTCTTTTAACTTCATAATTTTGTCATATAAGGTATATATCTTTTCTTTTTCCTGCATTTCTTAAATGTTCACATTTTGTGTTTTTTAGCAGCACAGATTTGAATTAACTTGTCAATGTCCAATGCACATGTGTAATCTGCTGTTTTACTACTATTATAGAAATACCTCTGATGTTCTTTTTTTTTTTATTCATTGAAGACAGTTGATATTTTTTTTACCAGCTTTAGCTCTCAAAATTTATGTTCTGGCGAGGCTATTGATGTTGAATATGATTAATTTTAAAGTATAATAGCTCGGTCAATTTTTATTATATGGGAATCAAAATTTTATATTTCTTATAATGAATACAAAACTTTCCTAAATATAAGTATAGGGACTGAAGAAATGTAGTTAAGATTTAAAAATTAAAAAGCAATTTTTTTTTAATATAAAAAATGTCAAAACATATATAGGTGCATTATTTGAAACACTTTATAAAAAGAAGTATAAATCTATGACCAACAGTTGCCCTCTCCCCCCCCCCCAAAAAAGAGACTGAGTAAAAACTTATGTGGACACAGTGTATACCTTAGCACTCTTCTAATAGCAAAACGTAAATTAATAATGGAATTGTACAAAAACAAACAAATATAGAATTTAACAATTTACTTATACATTGCTTTTATGTATTAATGTTTTCTTTTCCCCTAATGATTGAAACTTTTTTTCTCAGATGCACACAACTTCTCTCCCAAGACTTTCTGCTTAACTTTGGCCTGAATACAGTATGCCTCCTGGAGATGTCCAATCTAAAATAATTAATTATTCCATCTTCAGTGATAGTTTTAATATACTACATCTTGGTCAACCAGTTACACACATACACTTGAGGGGGGGGAAACTTATTTTATGACGTGCGAATAAATTTGTCATGCAATCCTATGATGAAGAAAATAAGCATGCATCTATTTATAAATTTAGCCGTTATTGGTTCATGCAACAAAATATTTTTGTTTAACCCATGATTTATATCATTGGAATTACTGCTTGCTAGCAAATTTTCATAAGCTGATCTCCAAAGAAAAACAAATATCAGTATTTTTCATAGCATTTTTTAAGACATATGTACATAATAATATGTATTATAACTTAATAACCATTGTCTTCATATGCAAAAATTTATTCATTAACAATAAATAAGAGCACAAATAGACATCCTTATAAAAACAGAAATAAAACAAACATTATTCAACACACATTCAAATGACCACATGAAAAATGATTAAATGAAAATGAAATTTGTTGGATTAGAGAGAAATAAAAAACCAAATCCTGGGATAAATTCAAGGTAACAATAAATAAATAAATAAATAAATAAAAGGAAAGCAAATTTTCCCGTTTTATTTGGGAAAAAAAATGTAGAACCCAATATTTGGGAATTTTTTTCGACAAATACAAGTCTAGTGAATTTATATACTCATAACAAAAATTTTTTAGTAGTATTGAAAAAATACAATTATAAGCAAATATCTGTTATTAAATTGTTTTAACAATAAATATATAATTTTTTACAAGTTTCCTTTATATATCATATTAATTATATCTCATGCAAAGATTTATGACACATATTATTTTTATAAATAAAGAACTTGATACAGAATTATGATAAAATGTTAAATGTTTACAAATCTTGTTCATAAATATGATATTTTCTCCATAAAGATTACATTCAGATAAAGTCATGAGGAATGTAAACAGTTGAATTTTTCAAACTAATAAATATACAAATATAAATAATGTATATTTAAATAATATGAAATGCATACTAATGTTTTTTTAATCACTGCTAAAAACTGATATTTTTATCACTGATGCAGCACATGTATCGATCGTAATATGATCATTATATTTTAAAACTAAAAATACTGTTAATTTACAGCTGCTTGTCATATTTGTATAATGCAACAGCGGCCTGTTAAACATTTTTATGTGGCCCGCCAAGCATTTCTAAAGTTGAATTTATTTTATTGACTTTCTCCCATAAATACATTGTTATAAAAATAATTATAATAAAATGGTAGTACATACTAAACCGAAACAATTTTTTGTGAAGAGTTACTCACTTGTCGGCGACTTGTTCAAACATGCAATACAAACACGCCGCGTCTGTGCTTGTTTGGGTTTGCTTCTGTCACACAATCAGTCGGACTGGTAAGCTGTTAACTAGCAATTTTAGCAATTCATGTGTTTCTTGAAAGGCGTGAGTGCAATATTATTTTCAAAAAGGTGTAGGCTACATAGCCGCACTTGTGCTGGCAAGCCATTTTCAGGTAGTGACACTTATTGACGGAAAACGAAAGCGCTAATAACTACTACTACTTTCGCTTCTAGCCGGGAATTCCCTGTCACCTGCAAACAGAGTAGTTACGTTCTTAAAAAGTAGAAGCCGCGTGCTAGAGAGAAGAAATAAAGATGTTGTTATGCGAAAGTAGATTCTTGCTTTTTGAACATCGCAAACAACAAAAACATTGCAGCGGTAACAAAGGTAATATTAGAGTTTTTTAATTCAAAATTAAGTTTTCCTACAATTTCATTTCCACAATTTTAATCCATAATAGCATGTCGGAAAAGTAAACAAAAAAAAAAAAAAAAAAAAAAAAAAAAAAAAAAAAAGGAAGGTTGCAGATGAGCACAGGCATTTCCAAGAAAAGTGGAAATTTGATTATCTTTTCACTTTCGTCAAAGCTAAAGCTGTATGCATAATATGCCCAGAGACTGTGTCGACATTAAAAGAATATAACATAAAAAGGCATTACGATACAAAACATGAACAACAATATAAAAACTTCACAGGACAACTTGGGATAGATAAGTTTAATCAAATGGAGAAAAACTTGGGAAAACAACAGGCTATTTTTAAAAATCAAATTATTTTTTATCAAATATGGCAGTAAAGGCTAGTTTTGTTGTCAGTCAAATACTGGCAAAAAAATGAAACCCTTTGCAGATGGAGAGATGTTAAAAGAATGTCTGACTGCTGTTGCAGAAATAGCATTTCCTGATAAAATAAATATTATTTCAAACATTAGTTTATCGAAATTCACCATTGCAAGGAGAACTGAAGACTTGTCCAAGAACATAGCAACAATGCTTCGTGAACACATTGCAAAATTCAAATACTGTTCTTTGGCACTTGATGAGAGTTGCAATATTAGCAATACAGCACAACTGGCTATATTTTTACCTGGTATTGATACCAAATTTAATATTACCGAAGAATTGTGTTCACTGATTACATTGCAAGGGACTACAACCAAGACCTGTACAATGAACTAAAGTCTGTGTTGGAAAATTTTTCAATTTCATTAGAAAAGTTTATTGGTATATCGACAGATGGAGCACGAGCAATGTCGAGCATGGAGTTAGGAGTATCGGGAAAGCTATTTCAAGATATTAAGAAGGTCACAGGAAGGGAAATATTCATTAACCACTGCATAATTCACCAGAAAAATTTGTGTGCTAAAAGATCGAGTTTGCCAAATATCACAGTACCAATAATTAAACTAATCAATTTTATAAAGTCATGTGCGTTAAATCACCGTGAATTTAACATAATCTAAACATTTTCATTGATTGTATATTTAATCTCAATAAAAGTTAAATATAGAGTGATCTTTATGCAGAACAATCATCTGTTATTTTTAAACACTTTGGACCAGACTAGTAAAAATTATCACTAAATATATTATTAAATTAATTTGGAATTATTAAATTAATAGGATTATTAAATTAATTTGGAATGTAGTTATTAATCATCGCGTTTATATTCTTTCAAGGCAATATATTTTAAATTAACATTTGCATTTTTGCAAAAATGTGTTTACAGTTGGAAAAAATTATAAAAATTGTTATTATTAGCAAAATCCAAAACAAGTAATCATTTGACATTATAAATTGAATAGAAGAATTCATCTATTACTCATGATAAATTTAGATCAAATGAAATGATGTGTTTCATATTTCAAAACATTAAAAATAAAAATAAAATATTCTACTTGATTATTGACCTTTTTAAAATTATCATTCGTCCAATATTCCTATTATTCTTAGTTACACTGTTTAAATAACAGAGATATATAACAGTGCTGAAAATAATATACCTTATCAAAGTATTTCTGTAACATACGAACATGAGATTCAAAAAATAAAGACAAAGATCATAAATTAGTTTCAGTAAAATATTAAGCATTATTCATTAAAACATAAAATGCAGAGTACTAACGTCTACTTTTGCTCATTTGTTTGGTTTTTTAGCACAAGATGCTAAACATTCAATAATGCACCAAATAAAATCTTATACCATTTTATATAGTTTCATAGAAATCATAGAAATTGCACCATAAAAATTCTTGAAATTATGTATTAATACACATTAATATCACATGTAATCATCAATTTCACTTTGTTGGTAGGTTCTTGTGCATTGAAGCTCTGAATAAAATTTTAAGACTTGAGGGTCAGCTCGAATGCTAGTAGGTTCAATGTCAAGCACTCTGAGTCCTTCCATACTGCGAGCTCTAGATAAGGCAACATATGCTTGTCCACATTCAAATACACGAGACAAAGATACCTCAACACAATCTAAAGTCATTCCCTGGAAAAACATTTTAGAATCAAGAAAAAGGCAAAAATGCTTAAATAAAAATATACAAAAATAGTTCCGGAATTGTGTAAAACAAGCTCTATTTGGGAAATAGTTATAATCATAATCACTGATACTACTTTATGTACAGTGCAAGAAAAAAAAGGAGGGGGGGACAGTCCTATATCTCCCGTTCTACTGGGTCGATTGATGAAATTCAAATTGCGTTCTTTATGTCTCAAAAGCGCGGCTTTCGAGACATAAAGAACGCAATTTGAATTTCGAGACATACAGACATTTCGAGACTTTTGCATCTGAAAACTGAATATATTAAATTTATATATAGCTCTATTCTAACATAGTTATTTTGTCACAAAATCGGACTTTTTCTGAAATAACATATCAATTTGTTTCCATATTTCCATTCTACGACTCAAATTATGCCTAAATATGAAATTTTGTAAAATTTGGTGTGAAATTTACGGAGAAATTCGCAAATTTATTAGTTCTTTTTTTTCAGTTTGCGCCAACAAGAGTTCACTTGCTGAACTTCTTAATGTATGGCAATCTATTTTCCTTTCCCGTGAGACGGAAAAAAATCACAACATTCTTTCTTTCAAATAATGTTTTTTATATTGTATTTTTAATATTTTTTTTTCTTTTTCGAATTTCATTTTAATTCTTTAAGTTGCATGTTTTCTTTCGAATAACTATTTTAAAAATTTCTATTTACCCATTCTAACTGCGTAGTTTAAATATAAGGTGAATCGTTTATTTTTTTCTGAATAGTTTTCTTTATAATTTTTTTGTCACAGTTATTATTTTAGGTAATTTTTAAATTTTTAGACTTTTATTTTAATTGATTGTGTTGCACTGTTTCTTCAAATTTACTATTTTTTCATTCGAACTGAGCATTTTAAATATATTTATTAATATAAATTTTCCAGGATTTTATTTTATTTACTTTAATTGCATTTCTTTCGGAAGAATACTTTGTGTCCCAGACTACAATGCATCTGAAAACTGAATATATTAAAAGAGAAAATACAGTAAAGCACAGTTAACATGTCTTTCAATCTTCCGTTCAGAAAGCTATATAAATGAGAAAATAAGCTATATAAATGAGAAAGATGTATAACCAAAGTTTTAACTTAGGATGACTTGCATATATTGCTTTAAACAGCTTTAACATTGTGCTCATTACTTTACACAATTTTATTATCCTACATTTAGTTTCCAAAAATGTTATTCATATTTTAGTCAAATATTTTATTTTCGAAATTTCATCAAATATCATAAGATTAAAAAGTTTTAAATTTAAAAAAATACTAAATTTTATGCAAAAATTAATTTTTTTCTTCTTAATGGTTTGCTCTTTTTCTTCAGGCATTTTGCAAGTAAATTAAAAAGCATCCAAGTTTTTGAAACATCTTGGTATTTCTGACATTAATTTTAAATAAATTTATTGCCTTGCATTCAATAAAGCCAGCAACAGCCGAGCGGTAAAGTCACTGAACACTGGTAGTTCACTCCAGGATTCGAAAACGGGCTGGTTGCATGGCTGCTTTTATGGTTTTTCTCATTGTAATGTGTATGCCAGCTGGTTTTCCTTAGAAAGTTCTTCACAAAGGCCTTTTAGGGCAGATAGCCCTGCTTGGTCTGAAACTCCAGTACTTGGTCTGAAACTTTATCAGTCTTTAGAGGCTAAGCATTTTAAGGCATGAGATGAAAAGAAAGACTGGTTTCATCAAGAGGGAAAACATCTTTAAGTGACATCCACATACATCACTAGTTAAATTCCTGAATATTCAAATAATTTGACTAAGAAATCATGGGATTTGGATGATATGATGTTCTATAATGTAATTTAAATTTATACAAACATATAGTCAAAAACCAGTCGCACTTCACTTTAATCTGCAATGATAATCAATGATGTAATAATCTGCAACCTCTTTCCGTTAGCACTAGCTCAATTGATAGTATTTGCTAGTGTACACTTCCAAGTGTTTTCTATTTGAACACCCAAATTCCTTGAAGTATTCTGAATATATATTCAAAAGCAACCAACTTTTCGAAACACCTTGGTATTTCTGGCAGCCATAATCCCCTTCAAATTTTTGCTTCCTCTTCTCCCTACATTTATTTTCAATGGTCATCACAAGAGAATTAAGATTTTACGATTGTTACACTTCCATAAATTTCGCATTCTTATCAATTTTTTAAAAATATCAATAACATCAACTGCGTTTCAGTTGAAGATAGCTTTTCATTTTCTAGACATTTTAACTATAAATAAAGTTTTAAAGCAAAGTCCAGAGGATAAATATTTGAATTAAAAGATTTTTTGCTAAATGACAAAGAAATAAAACAGTCCAGCAGTGTTTATTCTGTACCACCGAGTAACCCAATTCTTATATCGGCTGAAACAATCTAAATCATATTAAAGATCGTTTTTTTTTTTTTTTTTTTTTTTTTTTTTTAAATACAGTCTATAATGCGAGAGAAAAATTAACTTCTTAAAATATTATTTCTAACAGGATTAATGTAAAAATTTATATATATATATATATATATTTTAAAGCTTGGACTCGAACCAAACTGTCAAACTTTTAAAATTTAATTTACATGGTGGTTATAATTAAAGTTCCACTTTGAAAATAATAAACTAGTCACAAAAGGAAAACTACCAGACCAAATATTATCAAACTTGGTAATTGTGTAAAGGAGGTTATGGGAATTTATTTTCCATGGGGGAAAAAAAAAAAGAGTTCAAAAACTCACCACCAGAGGGGGGGAATGGCACTGTATGCAATATTGTTAAATGAAGTAAGACATGAAGACATCAGTTTAAAATGTGTTTAATCGTTTCTGAAACAAGTTACAAAGCATGTTCAATGTAGCGTCCAGCATTTTCCGAAAGCAAGTTATATCGTGTTATCGCATTCTCAACAACAGCTCTTAGCATATCAGGAGGAATGTTACGGACATGTCGGTGTATCACATTTTTCATTTCTGTGAAATTGTTTAGATTATCATTATAAACAGTGCTTTTGAGATAACCCCATAGCTAAAAGTCACAGGGGTTGAGGTTTGGTAACCGAGGTGGCCAAGAAGTGGGGAAGTGTCGGCCTATAAGACGTTCATTCGTAAAATGTTGCCTAAGTAACTGCGCAACACATGTGAGGTGGGGCCTAGCCCTGCATAACTGCAGTTCATGTATCACGAAACATTTTAACATTGACTCTAAGCGAGCTGCAGTCACAGTGGTCCAGCTGTCGACTGCTCTTCAAAGAAAAATGGTTCAGTTATGAAACTAGCTGTCATTCCACACCAAACTGCTATGCAATGGAACTAGGCAGATAACATAAGGGATTTCTTTGGTCCAAACCGATTAAAAGCGTTTTGAATCAGTATCTTCATGTTTTAGGGCCAAATTCAGGCTTCAAAGATTACAAATTAGCGATCTGTAAGAAAAAACAAAAGGTTAAGCTAGATTTCGACCCTTATTTCGTTTAACAGTATTGCATACAGCGCCATTTCACTCTTGGTAATGAGGTTTCGAACTTTGTTTTTTTTTCACGGAAAATAAATTCCCATGACCTCATTTACACGATTACCAAGTTTGATAATATTTGGTCCAGAAGTTTTCCTTTTATGACCATTTCAAAGTGGAACTTTAATTATAACCACCCAGTATATTGTTAAATTTTAATTTGAAGTTATGCGTTATATGTATACCATGCGTAACATTTTCACTTTTATGGAAAAAATAAAGAATCAATGCAAATATACTTAGGAAAATGGACCAAAATTTAAAAAATTTCCCCTCCCTCCGAAAATAAAATATTGAAAATTCGACCTTGAATTTATTGGATTATCGAAATATTCAATTTGACTTAGCTTCTAAATCCTAGTTCTGACAACAATTCCGTCAAAAATTTCGAATTACTGATGCTTAAGTAAAAGGTTTAGTATATATTCACTGTATGTTAATAAAGTAAACAGAGTGTAATAAAAATAGATTGTCGATTTTATGCTGATGCAACGTTCTGTCTGAATGCACAACATGTAATGGAAGAGAGGGCTTGTAGAGATCTGGTTTTGACACGCCTCTAAAAGTAGATGTCATATTCGTTTTGTCTCTTCAATGTAAAAAAACTTTCCTTTGAGAGGCAACTTCAGTTTTGGGGAAAGAAAAAAATCACAAGAAGAATTTGAAGAACATGCAGGAGATTGAGTACACATACTTATTTTCAGAACACAAGCGGTTCTCCAATTGGTTATTGAATAATGAAAAGATGCATTGTCATGCAATACAAAAAATTTGGAATACGTTTTCTGACTGAATAACATAAGATTAAAAGTCATCTGCATAATTCTCAGCCATTTACAAGCCAACTACTCGAGCAATTGCAGAATAATTTTGATACCTGAGCTTGTAAGACAAACCTAATATCACTGGATTTAAACACTTCTTTAATCTTCCAAGAACATTCCTTCTTTAGCACATATTCTAAGAATATTAAGTAAATACAATTATTGCAAAAGAAATTGAATATTCATTTGAACTACGGCTTGGTAGTTTACTAATGAGTTAACAAAACTTAAATTCTGCTTTTTGTGTCTAAGAATACAACAATATTTTAAATATTTACAAATAAAATATTAAATTGGAGATTTCATTGCAGCCTCACCAGGGTCTAGCATTTGAAGATTGTTAAATACTAATTGTTTGTTTCGAAGTCTAACCCAGGCTGCATGGTTGGTTTTCGTAGTTTTCTAGGTTCTCTTTACAAACGTCCTCTATGAAACAATCTTAACCAAATAGCCCCTATGCCCTTTCTATGTTCAAATAACCAAATAATCTAGTTTAAGCGCGATGCCCATGTGAAGTTACTAGAAAAAGCCGAACACTCATTAAAAATCATGTAGCTTGCCAATCGGGAGAAACATGAAAGATACGCCGCCAATAATTGAATTGCTATTACGGCACCAATATGCTGTTTCTAAACTTAGATGGCCATTCCTTAATTAAACATAATTGATTTGTAACTTCTACTAGAGCTGACGGTAAGAATTGAAGTGCAAATAAATAATATCTTGTACAATCTTGATTAATATAAAATTAGAAATGTTTGCATAGAAAAGGACAACTTTTGAAATATTTGCAATTACTTTATAAGAAGGATTTATTAACCACTTAACTGCCGCGGGCGTATATATACGCCTTGCTCAGCCGATGCGTTAACTGCCCCAGGCGTATATATACGTCCTTCCAAACTGCTATCATTTGCTTTGCGCTGCTACACCTAAAATTATTCGCAAAGTTAACGCATCGGCTGCGCATCTGGGGCAGTTAACGCATCGGCTGAGCAAGGCGTATATATACGCCTGCGGCAGTTAAGGGGTTAATAATCGTAATAATCACTTATTATATTACTGATGATTAGAATTCAGTTCTTCACAATTACATTCTAAATTAGAATTTTAAGGATATAATGACAATACGCTACGCAGAAAAATACATTTTAGGATAAAAAATGAGTTTATTTTATGTTTAAAAACTTCTTAATATCATTTAATAAACATCGTACCCTCTTTAGTAATTGAATTCAGAATGTTGGGGTTCGTTTATATAATTATTCTTACATGTCCACATAACTTGCTGACCTACCCAGCCATTAAGTAGCTGCAGATCATTTCTACATAACGATGTAACTTCCATTAATTCGGCCTCTAGAAAGTTGTATTTTTATATTATAATTTGACTTTTATAAAATGATTATTCTAAATCTTATGTTTCTATAAAAGTATACTGTGCTTTAAAACTATGGATGATAGTATCAGCTACTCTTTCAGCAACTTCATAAGCAACAGCTTGTTTAGAAATAAATTATGCAGTTAATGTCACAAAATATTTTTGAACATAAAACATAAATTTTTAACTGCTGCATTTGCTACAAACAGGAAAGAAAAGTAAAACCTTACATTCTAGTAAACATTGCAGTTGTTAAACATTTCTGTAGTAAATGGCAACACAATATTTTGGCATGTTATTTGAAGTATTCAGAAGTATTAAATATATCATGTGATAAATCAGTTTCAAATCTGAAGATAAATCTTTGCATATATATTGAACATAAAAGACATTATGTCATAAAGAAACACTGTGAATTGAATGGAATTTTTTGCAGAATATTTTCGATCCCAAAATGATAAAACCTGTATTTTGAGGTAATGAATCCATCGACCTGAACTTTTGGAACACTATTTTTGATTCCAAAAGCTGTAGTTTGGTTTGATCAGTTATATTTCATGCAAAATCTCCTTCTCAGATATAGAAAGTGAAACTCTATGAAACATTAGACTGCCAATCTCTAAGGTTATCGCACACTTTTGGGTTTGTATGTCACTTTTTAAGAGTATATTACTAACAAACAGGTGCATAGAGCAAAAAATAAAATATTATAAAACGTTTGAATCATCTAAAAAAATAGAAACTTTTTTAAATAAATATAAATAGTAGAGTTCTGATAAGCTAAAAGTGAATGGATTTTAAAAAGCTATGAATAGAAAAAAATTAACATTAATTCTGAATCATGTGGAAAGCTTCATGTGGAAATCTTATATGATTTAAGTGCTTTTAATTGTAAAAGCTAATTGATTTTATTCTTTCATGATCACAATTCAATTAATTCAATTTAAACGAAGTTAAAGTAAAGTAGCAGACGATAACACAGCGAAGATAAAAATTTATTCTTACAAATATATTTTTTTTTTTTAAAAAAAAGAAAGAATTTTTTTTTTAAAGTTAAAAATTTGAATATCATCTAAAATTTAAAAAAATTCACATAGTATTAATAAATATTTATTATGCATCATTGATTGAATAAATTTTATATAATTAATTCTCCCTAAAAATTTATTTGAAATCTAAGATTAAAAATAGCTGTGGCAATCCACTGTAACAAAATCCATAATCCACATTTGACGTTATTATCACACCAAAAAAAAGATGCCAAATTTCAAAACACGAAAATATGTAAATTCGTGTATATCTTAGAAAATTTTGAATAAAATCTCTAATTTTTCACAGGTATGATTAGAAATACGTGAACTTTAAGATGATGGTAAAAATTTTATAGGTTATAATTCAAAAAGGTTTTCAAAAAATTTATAAAAATTATTTAAAAATAGAAAATTTAAAAATAAAACACAAAAGATGGCTGAATTTGATTTGGAATGAACCTAAATTTCGAAATGTGAAAGGAAAAATAAAAAAAAAAAAACTTTAATAAAAAAAGAGATATATGCCAAATTCAATTAACATTGAGAAGCTAAAATTTTTAAAGCTAATTTGTTTAAAAACTACTCGTACGATTTTGACAAAACTTGGCATTCTGGCATAATTAAGTCGTAGAATCGAAATATGTAAAAAAATTGGTATGTTATTTCAGAAAAAGTCCGATTTTGCGTCAAAATACCTATGTTAGAATAGTTCTATATATAAATCTAATATATATCCTAAGTCGCACTTTCGAAACATGAAAAACGCAGTTTGAATTTTGTCAATCGGCCCAGTAGAACGGAAGATATAGAACTATCCTTTTTTACCCCCCCACACTGTACCTTGTTATAATCACAATCATATTTCATATTTTCATAGCTTTTAATATGAAATCATGTCAGCTATTTCCTATTGTAACTTAATGAACAGTACCTAAAATTAGCAGTGCATGAGGTAAAAAGATATAAAGTAATTGTCTTGGAGTCCCTACATATGATGATAATATGTTTGAAAAAAGATTCTGATATGATGTAAGGATTATTATTATTATTATTATTTCATTTTTAAAAAGCAATTCCTATTTATAACATTCTTTATTTTGCCATTATAAATCAATTTTGCACAAATAAAATGAAAGAAAAGAAAATTATTCAAATTAAATAAATACCTGAGACTTATGAATGGATATAGCCCAAGCTAATTTTAAAGGTAACATCTTCCGTACTAACATCAATCCACTATGAGATCGAAATATCCATTTCTCATAGTTGACACTCTCTTGTACTCCACACACAAACTTCACAATTGGTAACTCTAAAATTTCAGACAAAGTCCATTTTAAGGGGATTAAAAACTACACCAAATATTTATAGTACATAAAAATGAATTTTTAAACAGTTTGTCTCTACAGTATTGCTTCCCAGCATCATTATATTTACTATTTTAAATATGCTTCAAAGGCACACAAAATAAAATAAAAATCTAACTCTATAGTGCTGATAGGAAACACCACTGCAAACACAGCAGACATCTCTGAAATAGTGAAGTTAATTCCCGAGGCTACGGTGGGATGTGTTTGGGCAGAATTTCATGTCTGCCATATCACCAAGATGCTCATAGTGAACATTTATAATAATGAGGTAAGAAAATTGGATAATTGTTTTTGCTTTTCATGCCAATATGGTTGTATGTGTACTTCCATATAGGAATAGACACAATTTTGTTTTGGAAGGTTATGAATCACCTTGCATTTGCCATACAGCATCTGTAAATATAGCACTGATTTCCATATTCAATGATCCTATCAAGAGTGTAATGCTAAAAGACTGAAATATTAATTTAACATTTGCCAAATAATTCTAAATGCTACTGCTTTATGTGTATTGTACACTAACACACATTGTTTATTTACATTCAAAAGTAATTTTATTGTGAAAGAAGCCCTTCATAGCTACCTTACTAAATTAGCAGTTGTTTAATACACAGACAGCACTCTTTTTTAGAGATTATACTTTTATTTATTTCATGAGATTCTGATTTTCTAAAAGTTTACTTTTCTTAAATTAATATTTCAAAATAATTTTATTTTAAAATATTAAACTGTTTTTATTGTATTTATCTTATTTATTAAATTAATGCAATTATACATAGTTTAGCAAATGGAAATCTCAATACATTATGCTTTAATTATAGTAATATGTATGTTCACTATTAAACAAATATTTTAGTTAATTTGCAAACTGCACCAATTGATTTCACAATGCTATAAAAATTATCTAAATCATCTGAGCTAAAATATTAACAGCATTAATCAAGATATAAATTCTTTATCAAATATGCAAGAAAACATCACAAGTAACTGTAAATTTAACAAATTTGAATGAAATCACTGTTATTGTATTTATAGTTTTGAAATGAATTTTGAAGTTTTGAAAATGAATTTACATGAAACTGTTATGAAAAAACATTACAAACTTTTTCTTACTTTCTTTACCACTGTTAAAACCAATGACAACACCACGGGCCCCATTCACCAAACCTTTCTGAAGATCTAAATTTTTTGCAAGCATAACTTGGGCTCCAACTTTTAATTCAATTCTGTCAGATACTGGACAGTGATTATTCATGAATGTTAGGAATTCAGGGTGACTGTCTACAGCATAAAAAATACGAGATTCTCCTAAAAATTAACAATTGCCTATGAAATAAAGGTACAGCTTGCACAACAAATATGGCTACTGATTCAATGAATAAAATCAGTTCTACAGATAAGAGAAGACTATAAGTTAAATCTTCCATTTGGGAGCACTAAGTTCTCATTAACGTGTCTTTATTTTATTAATGCACATGTTCCAGTTAATAAACAGAAGAAACAACACAGAACATTTTTAAACTTTTAATAAAATTCAAGCAAATCTGTCTTTAATTCTCAATTTTAAAGAGTAAAACCACATTTTGTCAGTTATTCTCTTCACATTGAAAACAACATATTACATTTCCAACATAAAGGTTTAACAATGTAGAATTTATTGTCAAGTTAAATGTAACGTCCATAAATCAAATCACATAAAATACTATAAAATTTGAATTTAATAATCATTGCACTGAAAAAAAAAAAAAAAAAAAAAATCTAAAGCTATATACTTTATTTTAAATGATAAACTAATAGTAATATAAAACTGTGTAGAAACATTAGGTATTTTTGGAAGCAGGCAAGATGAAAAATTAGAAAAGCCTTCACCAGGAATTGAACCACGGACCTCTCAATTACATGCTGAGTGTGCAGACCACTACATACCGAAGACTCTCTAAGAAGGTGGGAGAAATACCTTATAACTGAAATAATATTACTAAATTATAAAAAAGAAAATCTGAAATGTTTCAAATTTTAAATTAAGTCCAAAGGGGCATTTTTTTAACATTTTGTGTGTTATATTTATTTATTAAATATCACGTTTTTTGCACTTAAACCATAAAATTCAGTTCAACAGCAATATTGCAAAACCGTTTTAAAATGAGCATATCTATAGAATTTCTGATACAGACTCACGCTCTGGAGATAAAAATGTTTTTTCTGTACATCGTTGCCATTGCTCGCTTTGAAATCCTCGAGTTTGTTAATCAAAAATTCGTTAAAGTTTTACAAAATAGGAAATCGATAATAAAATAAATTCCAAATTTCAAATTTGGTCTTCCACATGCCCATATTCGTAGGAGAATTACATCATTTAAAATTTGATGGCTCTATATACCGTTGTTTTATCACAATGCGAGAAATATGCATACATTTATGTAGATTTTTCATTATTTAATTTCTTCAAATATAACACAGGGCGATAATACTTTGTGGTGACAGTCTGAAAAGTTTTCATTAATTTTTTTGGTTTATTAAATTGTAGTTATTAGATCTTAATTAATAGCTAAATTTCATGAATTTAGCATACAAATATCCAAAATTTTAAGTTCATTTCTATTTACTTTAATATTGCTCTTTAGCTACAATTTATAAATAGTTTTTTTAAATTAATGACCATATTTTGAATTAAAACAATGGTTATTGGAGGAATTAATGCAACAACAATCATCATAACATTTATAAATTTGCAGTACCAGTTTCAAAGGTTTAAATATAGAACCTTCAAAACTAGTCCTGCAAATTTATGAATATGCTTGTTTCTTTAACTTCTCCAATAATAACGATATGGTAAATTACAAGTGAAAAGTAATTTATATATGTGATTAAAATTTTTAGATAGCATTGACTTAGGTAAAGAAAGATGATGCTGGCAACTTTTTTTTTAAAACCAAGCAGTAATGGGCTTTTTTTACACGCCATTTTTATGTTGTTTGTAGTGAATCGAAGCAAAATCTCAAAATGAAAACAATAGTCCTTCAGGGACAAAGCCCCTTTGGACTAAAAAGTCCATAAATCAGTCAGATATTTATTTAAATGTCTTAAAACATAATTTTGGATAGATTACTTCCAGGCAGTTAACAAGTATTACAAAAACATAGTTGAAATGTTATAAAAAAAGAGTTAGAAGAAAGAAGGCACAGTTGGTCTCATATGGGGGGGGGAATTAATGTAAGATATCTAAAGTACTACTCTGACTGTGCTTTAGTTAATGGGAGAGAGGAATGCCATAGTAAACAGATATAGATAGAAATTTTACTGAAGAGAAATGATATTTTAAAAGATACTTTTCTTATTAAAATTTTATTGCAGCAATAATTCTTTATCTTAGTATGTTTCACATTTAGTTAAAAAAAATTAGAAGCATTATATTTTATTTTAAATACTAATAAAAAAAAGAGTTACAATAATTTAGCTTGACTGAGAATTATTAGTAAGTTTTCATTAATTTTTTTGGTTTATTAAATTGAGTTATTAGATCTTAATTAATAGCTAAATTTCATGAATTTAGCATACAAATATTCCAAAATTTTAAATTCTTTCTATTTACTTTAATATTGCTCTTTAGCTACAATTTATAAATAGTTTTTTTAAATTAATGACCATATTTTGAATTAAAACAATGATTATTGGAGGAATTAATGCAAAACAATCATCATAACATTTATAATTTGCAGTACCAGTTTCAAAGGTTTAAATATAGAACCTTCAAAACTAGTCCTGCAAATTTATGAATATGCTTGTTTCTTTAACTTCTCCAATAATATCGATATGGTAAATTACAAGTGAAAAGTAATTTATATATGTGATTAAAATTTTTAGATAGCATTGACTTAGGTAATGAAAGATGATGCTGGCAACTTTTTTTTAAAAACCAAGCAGTAATGGGCTTTTTTTACACGCCATTTTTATGTAGGTACAATTCATATACAGTAAAAGCTCAACTATCCAGCATTCAACTAGCTGGTATATTTTCGAATTTTAAAAGCTTTTTTTTAATATAAAATTAAGTAAATAAGAAACTTGTAACCATGATATAAAGCTCAAACAAGACTGAAACAAAACCTGTTGCTAACAGTGGATTGGATTATTCAATTATGGCAAAGCACACGAGGACTATCTGCCTAAAGGGAGGGATGCCTTCGTGGAGGACTTTCTAAGGGTAACTGGCTCGTATACACGTTACACATGGGAAAAACCACGAAAACGCCCATGCAGCCAGCCCGTTCGCGGGATTCGAACCTCGGACCGAACTACCAGTGTTTAGTGTCTTCACTGCTCGGCCGCTGGTGGGCCTTACTAACAGTGGAATTTAGTGCCAATAAAGGATAAGTATGATGTAACGCTTTGGCTTTATGTAAACCTGATTAATTCTCATTAAGTCCGTTTAATTCTTGTCAAAAAATTATATATGTTAGCCACCATTTATCTGTTTTTCAATTGCTTTCTAAAAAACAAATAAATAAAATAAAATTTTGGACTTGCATTTAAAGGAACAGCATGCAGTAGAGTATTTCAAATTTATGGGATCCTGGCCATTAAAGGAAGTGTAAATTATATGAATATGGATAACCACTGGTTATGCAAAATGGAAAAATTAAGTCTTTTAAACTTTTTTATGTTATGTCCATAGCTTGAATATGTTGATTAACTAAATAAGCAATCTGTTCCTTCCAACTTCTGCTTCCAATTAGTGCATTCATGCTCGACGAAATTTTGTAATCGAATATGATGTTTTACTTTGGCATTTATGCCTGGATTGCCCTTTTTTTTCACAATCTCACATAATTTAAATGTAGGTATTTGATATTCAAGCTGGAAAAAAAAAATGACTCTCACAGTTTCAGACCAGAAATTTTTTCTTCTATTTGACTTTTCTACTATGAATTACCTTTTTTTATAAGTTCAGTTATCTGGAATCTTTGTGTATCCAGAATTTTGCATTTTCTGAGCTTTCCGGATAGTTGAGCTTCTACTGTATAATAAAACACAATGCTGCAACTATTAGTATTGTGATATGTCAACTGACTGTAAAATAACTTAAAATACATGTTGTACCTGTTTAAAACATAACAAATAATGACAAAAGAACTGAAGATAGTGGATATCTTAGCTTGACAAAGGCATATGTGAAAAAAGCAATGGTGTACTACTGATATTAAAATAAAAATGGCAAAGTAACTTTATTTTTCAAGAGATGTATCGTTTAATTACTATAGGTTAATAAGTTTCAGTTTGAACATTATTGGATAAATGATTTTAGTTTCACTTGCCCTGTTCCAAATACATTTGTTGTCATCATCATCATGATGTACTTCAGAAATATTAATTTTAAGCATTTTACTATTCTTAGTACAGAAAGGGGAAATAACCAAATTAAAAAGACTTCATGATTTACTGCAAATTAAAGTAAAAATTTATCTTATAATATATATATTATACAAGAGAAAAACATTTATGCATATTTGCATATAGATATATACAAAGAAAATGTTTAATCTGTCTTAGAGGATGACAGTTGGATAGATTATATGGAATATGCAGGTACAGCTGGCTGAACATTACTTTATTCTTATCATAATATTCTTAGAAACATACATAGCTGAACTGATGCAAAGCAAGCATCCAGTGCCTATAATTGTATGTTCACAAATTCATAATATTATAACAGGAGAAAAAGAGATGCAGATGCTAGCAACACAGATACAAATGTGACAAAAGTAAAGATTACATTACTGACATTAGACTAAGAATGGTGAAGACAATGTATCACTCTAGAAAGAGAAGGACATTGCATCATTTTATTGCTTTTTGTTTATTTAAGTTTTGATTCTATATAGTGAAAAAACTATACGGAGTCAAAACTTAAAATAAAGAAAAGTATTTTCCATTATTTGATGCAATTAAAAAGGAATTTAAGAGGCTATTACAAACTGAAATTAGAATTTTACCTTACACATACATACAAAAATATATTGTTACGTATTTGGTATTTAAATAGCTAATGTTAATTGAATTATAAATTAAATTGTTTTATTCCCCGTGCAGTGTAGCACGTGACAAATATTGAAGGAAAGCTAAGCCAAAAAATTAAAAGACGTGCATTTAACATTTAATAAATAAATAAATATCTCTTTTTGATTTCGAGAAAGTTCTCATGCACGATTTAAAAATCTTATAAAAAGGAGGAAAACCTCTCAATTCAGTTAGTCAGTGATTGCAGTTAGTTTGTTGTTGTTTTAACAGTTTGCTTAGAAAACTGCTCTTGTTGACTGTAGCAAATTCGCGGATTAGCTTTCTTTAGCTGTTTTAAGTTCTCTTGAACATTTGTACCTATTATAACTATAGTAGGAGTTATTTTCTCCACTGAAGATTGAGAT